AAGACCACTGGGTCCTGAAGAAAATCATTATTATTTTTGGCTCACTCAGTACCAGAACAACGGTCCCAAGCAGTCCCAAGCTATTTCACTCACCCCTGCATGTTCTGCATGAATCCACACACCCCTGATGTTATCTGTCAAACTTTCATAGCGAATCAAAACAAACATAGTGTAGTAATAGAATTTCAACTAGAATAGGGTACGTTAATCGTTTGCTTGGGACCAATAGGCTACTAAAGTGGTGAGCCAATTTAAAATCGTTAGTTTCGTATTGATTGTTGGTTATAGTTTGTTTATCAAAATATTTTTTTTTTAAATTAGTCTAATGATCGCTTCTACTTGGACTGTGCCACCAGAAAACGTGCCAAAAACAGGGGTAAGACAGCTTAAGATACTGAGTAAAATCGGAGTTAATTTTGAGTAACTCTGTGTAACTCGCGTTGCTCAATATCTCATACACATAGCAACCTGATTGTTATATTGAAAACAATGTTGAAACCGATGCTTTCAAGCAAAATATGTTGACGTGCTTTCCAGTTTTCAATGATGAACCCCGATGTAAGTATCAATTAAAAAAGGAAACTAATAATCTATCCCAATTATAAAACTACACAACATAAGAACGGTGTTGTTCGTACTATATTTAAAAATTCAGATATTCTTCTAATATTCCAGAAGTGTAGAATATTAAATTGTCGTTCCACTTACGCAGTATTACCAACAATCAATACGAAACTAACGATTTTAAATTGGCTCACCACTTTAGTAGCCTATTGGTCCCTAGCAAACGATTAACGTACCCTATTCTAGTTGAAATTCTATTACTACACTATGTTTGTTTTGATTCGCTATGAAAGTTTGACAGATAACATCAGGGGTGTGTGGATTCATGCAGAACATGCAGGGGTGAGTGAAATAGCTTGGGACTGCTTGCTCACTCAGTACCAGAACAACGGTACCAAGCAGTCCCAAGCTATTTCACTCACCCCTGCATGTTCTGCATGAATCCACACACCCCTGATGTTATCTGTCAAACTTTCATAGCGAATCAAAACAAACATAGTGTAGTAGTAGAATTTCAACTAGAATAGGGTACGTTAATCGTTTGCTTGGGACCAATAGGCTACTAAAGTGGTGAGCCAATTTAAAATCGTTAGTTTCGTATTGATTGTTGGTATTACCAACAATCAATACGAAACTAACGATTTTAAATTGGCTACTTTAGTAGCCTATTGGTCCCAAGCAAACGATTAACGTACCCTATTCTAGTTATCGTTAGTTTCGTATTGATTGTTGGTATTACACAGCAAAGTGAGGCGGTGAAGATGCGCCTAACCGAAAAGGAGCATTCCCCTTTTGACACGATCGCTCCGGTATCGTCCTAGGCCATGTCAATCCTCTCCAACGAGAAAAGACTCGAGAAAGGCTTCCAAGCCCCGTCAAACCGGTGTGCAGTCAGTCAAACCATCATTCCCCATCGGTTCGGAAAACACCAGTGACCGTTTGTCGACAGCAGTAGCATCGAGTACTTGCAGGACGTCGCCAGGACTTACCGAAGAAAATCCCACAAAAAACAAACAGTAGATTGTGCAATAAAACTAACCTCTAGATCAAACGAAATAGTTACACGTTATTGGAACTTTGCAACATAGTAGCAACAATCAATACGAAACTAACGATTTTAAATTGGCTCACTACTTGACTAGCCTATTGGTCCCAAGCAAATCGATTAACGTTCCCCATTCTAGTCAAAATTCTAGTACTACACAATGTTTGTTTTGATTCGCTATGAAAGTTTGACAGATAAAATGAGGGGTTAGTGGATTTTCCTATGTTTCGAGGGGTGAATCGATTAGCTTGGGACCGAAGATAGTACCAGAGCTGAGCCAAAAAGATGAGCACGTTTCTTCGGGACCTACTTGTCTTAGAGTTACCTCTATGATAGTAGTACTTGTCACGATATACCTAAATATTTATGTTGGATTTCTTCATGTCCGAAATTAGTTCAACAAAATGAGAGGGATCTTTTACAGACTATGCGAAATAACCCAGGTAACAATTTAATGCTTAACAAGTGTTGTTTAATCGATTTTAATTCAGCCTTAGATTGAATAATTGCTGTGCATAGATCACGTTAACCTTTGTTCAGCTTTTAAACATCTAAATCTGGTGATTTTAATCAGTCAAAAGCTTAATAGTAATATATAATTTAAGCTTTTTAAGGCATTAAATAACAGTCTTTTCCAACCCTTGTTCAGCCTTCTAGTTTTATTTCAAAAATAATAATGCATTTATATGGCACTGCTTTATCCTTTTTTTTCGCTGACTAATTGGACTAACATATTTATATTGTTAATATAAGTCTAAAAATTACCTTTGCATTTCGGGATTCGAACCGGCATTTGCTGATAAACAGGCGTAAACCATACCTACTGGACCATTTAAGCATGTGTGTGGCAAAAGGTATGAACATTAACTTGAAGCACGTCAAATTTAAGTTGAATAGCAGCAACCGGAAGAGTATTATACAGCAATGCAGAATTGTAAACAACAACTGGTGACAGTAAAACATTCCTCTCATTTTCTAGTGCAGCTAACACAACGTGGACAGAAGTGCGTGCTTTATGTCGGTGGTCATTTGGATGTTATTTTAGTGCTATAATTGAGTAATATTTTTGGAATGCAGTCTGAAACTTCAGTGCAATATAACAGACAAAACACAGGAATACAAATGTTAATACTCCCGACGTCATCGCAGCCCACATCTACCTGGAGCTATTCCTAAAAATCTCCTTTTCCTTGTCTCTACAGGGTGCGTGACGAATTTTTGCAGTAAATGGCATATTTGAGAAAAAATACACCAGTTAGTTATTCTAGCAATGAATTTTGTGCGATTTATTTTCTTTCGCAACATATGGAAGTTGTAAGTAAATTTATTCACAAAAATTGCCTTCCCTTTCGACGACTGTAGTTAGACGCTTCCGGAAACTGCAGTATGCACGTTTTAAAATGTTTCGATCCATAGATGTCATCACTGCCTTGATGTCATCACTGCCTTTTAGCGACTTAAGTGTGGTGTGAGGGGTTCTATTGGTATCCCGTTGGACGACGCCCTATACAAAATAATCCAACGGATTGATATCGGGACTGCTTGGGGGCCAAATTTCTTCCTCCCAAATTAACGAAATATTTTCCGTAAGCCATTTCTGTGCTTTATTAGCAGTATGAGCAGGTGCTCCGTCTTATCACTTTCCCAAGCCTTTTTTAATATTATACACTGTTCTTTCAGACACATTTACCGACCGAATTATTTCTTTCATGCATACTCCGGCGCGCAACAAAGCGACAACGGCTGACAGATTGCTCTCTTGTTTCGACATCTTTACGTTTACTCAACATTGTTTGTTTAAATCTTACACCTAACAGTATAAGCTATCCAGTGCTGCCAAATATATCTAAATCATGATGCACAAGCATGAGAAATTACTATTTGAAATTTACTGCAAAAATTCGTCACGCACCCTGTACTGCTGCCACTGCTTGTAATTAGAAAGGTAGGCAGTGAATTTAGAAGAACTAAATTGCCGGAAATACAACGAGTGACGCAGACACTGACGACATTTAACAAATCAAGCTATCAATATATGTGTAACGCTTTGCTGATTTGTGATGTTTAGTTAAGCTTAAGTAAGGCTTGTTAAATCTTTAGATCAGCTAACTTATTGAGGTTGGATTATGGGGATACAATTCGCTTCATGCACTACTAATCAACTATATGTTCAGCCTGATGTTAATCAGCTTTGTACACCTTAAATCAACCAATAATCAGCTTCTGTTCTTACTTTCAACCTTGAATTGTTGCTTGGGAAGCTATTTATGTTCACAGGTCAGAAACTTCTCAAATCGCTGGTCGGATACCAACATGGATAGTCCTGAAATAACACCACCACATCATCAAAAATCATCAAAACTCTTCAACGACAACACTTAAATCAATCGATCCCTGGGCTGCCTTGGATCTTTTAATGCTTAAAAACTGTGTTAATTTGAAAATCAAATATGCTGTCAGACGATATTTTCTTTGATCAGAAAACCGAGAATACTTTGATCATTTTTGAGCACATGTGAGTAACTCAAATTTACTCGCAGCAAATATATTTATAGCTGTCTTGCCCCTAAGGATAACTAGTCACCCACACACTAAGATTATTTCACAGATTTCTGTGAAATTTTACCCAAATCTCAACAGCTGAACGTTCGGTTACCAGTTCGGTGACTTTTCACAATTCACTGTGACAAATCACCGAACTGTTCACCGAACGTGCAGCTGTTGAGATGTCGGTAAAATTCCACAGAAATCTCTGGAATAATCTTAGTGATCAATATTTTTCAGTTGAAACTTGACATCTCAAAAGTGCGAAATCGCGAATAAAAGTGTGCTTTGATGATATATCGACTTGGTTTCTTCTGGGTACTTTTCCGTTCTTTAGTTCAATGAACTTCCGACTAGGAACTAAGCATGCTGTAGCACTTTAACAACTTTTATTTATTTATTGAACGAATTTCGCATTGCAATTCAAGCAGAAACATCGAAAACAATGACTTTAGTGAGTTTTTTGTCGAAAATAGGACCTTCAAAGTCACTAAAAATTGACCAACTATCAGCCCTACCAAACATAAATTTCGAAGGAAAGCATTTTTTATCAATTTTTCACTAGCAACAACAAATATCCATTCGCTTTGTTCTATGAAACAATTAAGAACAGGGTATTTTCATCGATGGACCCAATTTTCAGAGCCATAGGCCAACAATTAGAGCCGTCTCCCCTAGCAAATCGGAATATGCTGGTTACCCTGCAAATTTTAAAACTACTTTGTTACAGTTTGACAGAAATTTAAATTTCGGTAAAATTACTCATTACTCCGGCCCACTCATATTCAGCCTGTTAGCATCTGGCCTAATAGTCCATATTTAAACAAAAAATACGCCCTCGACTCACCCTCTCCTCCACGTGCAACTGTTCCGGGTTGCTGTAGGCCGTCGACACATGGACCACGGCCTTCAACGAGGGCAAACCCTTGCAGATCTCAAAAATCTCCCTCGTCGACAGCACATTGGTCAGTATGGCATCCTTCAGCGGATCATTGAACCGCACGCTGGCCGCCAGGTGGAACACGACCGACACACTTTGCAACTGCCGAATGTCCTCGTCGGACATTCCCAGCCGCAACTGCATACAGTCGCCAAACATCGGTACCAGCTTGGCCAGGGCTGTTGGATTTTGCTTCTTCAACGTTTCGAAGAACTGCAAGGATTGAAATGACAATATTATCACTTTGCTGATTGACGATGGTGGTTGACTCGTAACGCACTGGATTATCGGTCAGATCTTTCACTCGGGCTTCGGGACTTTTGCCTTGTTTGCACCGCATCAGTACAAAGATATGGCCAACGTCCGGGCAGGATCGCAGCAGCTTCTCGATCAGCACTTTGCCCATGAACCCGGTCCCACCGGTGAGGAACACATCGGTACCGGCGTAGAACTGCGGCACTGACACATAATCACCATCGTCACTGGTATTCTTCTTTTCGGACATCGCAGTCTTGAACTCTGAAAACAACGCTTCCACTTTCAACGGCCGAATCTTCCGGACTAGTTCCGGAAGTGTGCAAATCTTGTCGTATTTATAGATTTCCTTTCACGACATCAATCCCGCCAAGAAGGAGCATGGCCTTACTGCCTTACCGTCATTGCAGCACACTTGGTCCCAACGATCGTTGTTATTTTGCAAGTACAGCCCTCAACGGTACACCACAAAAGGTATTCCGATTATCTGGGGAAGGACGAGTTGCTCTTTTTAGTAGCAAACAATTGCAATTTAACCTGACCGAGACCTTGACGACTGCGGATTCCCTCATGCACCACTGCAGCTCTGATTTCCTTGTGCAGCAGCCCCGATGCAGATGCAGTTTTAACTTTCACTTTTTAGTCCGTTGAACGGCGAGGTTCAGGTGGGTGACGACGACAACAACAAGAATAAAAATAATAAAAATGATGGCAGTAGTAAGTCACTATGCGCCACTCACATTCATCGAGACTTGAGTATGATGGCTGCTGCAGTTGCAATTGAATGTAACATCATAATAAAGTCACAAATAGCCGCGGGGTCCATTGAACCATGCGTAGGGCGGTAGTACTTTACTTCGTCGTAGAAACTACAATCTAATCCACTAATCCAGAATGTCACTTATGTAGTTACGACTGAGAAGTAAGATGTTAGCCTCGTTTCAAAAGATGATCCAAGATTTAAAATTACAAACTCAAGTAATTAAACAACGATCCACGTAGGTTTGCGAGCCGTTAGAAACTGATTCGGAACTAGGCCAAGGCGTAGAGTAGCCGAGATTTGCTTGATCGGTTGTTTTAGGTAGGCTACTAATTGCAGCAAATTAGCAACTCTATCACTCTCGATCTTGCTGTAATCGAAGATATTGTCGTAATATGCGCATTTACAGTAACTCAATTGGAAGACTAAGATCAACGATCATTTGAACAAGGTAGACTTGATTGACACCATAGGCAACTAGTAGAGTTCATATTTTTTATAAACCTTTGCAATCCATCCAGCTACGGCAGTGGTAGTCGAAATATGCAAATTCTCTCTAAGCATTGAAGTAAGGGGCTGCCCCATCTTCCCCCTTACCTCCACGTAGACAATCGAAAAGAAAACAAAACTGCACACATTTTTGAACCCTGCGACAGCATGAAGTGGCCATTTCGACAAACTGCAGTGCAAACCACCCTGACCTATAATAAAATCAAACCAGTCACGTCCCTAATGCCAATTCATGCAACCACAAAGTCACACATATCCCTGGTTGGCAAATACCCAACTGAAGGGGATTTTCCCACGAACCGAAAATCTCGCACACAAAGTGTTGCTACAATCAGGGCGAAGCAGCACGACACGACAGCCCAACGACGACATCGTCTTAATTTTATTGCAACCCTCTCCTGCCTGGCAGCTCATCATTTGGAGGATAGAACCGCAAATAATCTCCTTGGACTGTTCGAAATAGTCTCGCCCGGCTATTTCGAAACAAATGGAGTCAGACAAACTGCAGAATTTAACTCGCCGCACGTGGTTGCATGATAAAATGGATCGCATTGACAGGTGCTCGGATTACGGACTGGTGGGCCGGAGAAAAACACCTGCGTCGAGAATGGGCCATCGGCCCATCGCCCATCTGTTACATCAGGACGTGTTTACTTTATTTTGGAGTCAGCGACGCAGGGAGGGTTCTGCCGAAAACAAAGCAATCCAAGCAACATTGCAGGTTTTGTCGAAGTTTTATCCGTTTCGGTCCAAATTTTTTCGACTGCTTATTTTAAGGAAATGTGTACGGTTTTTTTTTAAAGAATTTCCAGCCCAAAACGCAAATCGACCCTTTCCGATTTGAATGCAACTTTGCTCACATGTTGGCAAGTATCCAAGGTTGCATTTTTTATTTAAATATGATTGTTTATCTGATCAAAATGACATCTGAGAAGAAGTTGCAGGTAAATAAATGGTTTTTGAGAAAATAATCCTCCGAAAGAAGAAAATCAGTACATTTAGGTAAAAAAAACTCTTAGTAATGGAACAACATCAATTGGGTCTATTTTGGATTTGAAAACGGTTTTCATTCAAGTGCATACCATCCGTTATATTTTAAGAAAAAATACGAAATGAATTATTCGTCGCGGTTTAAAAGGAATTTTCAAACTTTTCCCTTAATACGACCCACCAAGCGGCGCACAACGGTCTCGGCCACTGTTTTGGCTATTTTATCTCACCCTTTTTTATTTGAGCTGCCGTTTTGATGACTGTACCTTTTAGCTTCAGTTTCCTCTTCATAATTACCCACTAATTTTCAATGTCCTGGACTGGGGACAATTTGGTGGATTGAAGGCAGTGCTGTAAATTCTCAAAATCATTTGAACATTTTTGATGAAAATGAGAAAAGTAGCTATTCGCTATCAAAGGGGACCTCCTCCGAATAGGTGATATCAGTTGCTTAGTCATTTGACGAAGGCATGGATCATTCTCATTTGAGAAACGCTATGCATCATTCAATTGAGTGTAACCTACACACGGAGCTCTGGTCGACATTCCGGCGAAAAAGCTAAGCCAACCCGACACCAACCTGACTTCTATCAAACCCCAACCCGATGTTGACCCGACATAAACCCAAAATTGACCCGGCAACAACACAACATTGGGTCGACATCGACCTTAAATTAGCCTTACATTGATCCGACATCGGGTTGACTTGTCTGTTCGGGACCATTTTGCTGGATTTCTTCCATACTCCACTGTCGTATATCAAATGATACTGAGTGACTCAATTGACAGTGACAATGAGCTTCGAATGAGAAAGGGGCTCTTCAAATTATGGTCATGTGAGAATTCGTTTACACAGAATTGATTGAATGGTTGTATTGGTTCATCTTCAATCGAATGATATGAAAATTTACAGCACTTGTTGGTAACAGCCGAAATGAATCAAATTCTATAAACTTTATTCACCAACCAATGTATTTCAGCGAATGAAAGTTATAAAATTCCTGTGGAATACTCAGTTAAGTTAGGCTAATTTAGGATAATTTTCATGTAATGCTTACATTTAGTGATTCTCGCTGTATGGCAATATAATTGCTTGAGAGATCCAACAACTCTCATAGGTTTAGGAAATCTATCAACGATAACAGAACAGCCGAATTTGCTGGTAGTTATAAGTAATCGTTTAGCCTTAGGTACCTATTTAGATGTTTGTGTTTAGGATCATGTTTTAGGTTTAAATTCTTTTTACCTCACCTTTTTCCGGGCCACATATAACTTATTCAGAAGGCAAGTAGAAGTTCTAGTGGTTCATCGATACCTTAATAATAGCACATAATAGGTTAAGAATCTTCCTGTCATACTATTTCATATTCTCACCTCTAGATTAAGAATCAATAATTTGCAACTAATATTTAGCACTCAAGTTCACTAGGTTTAGTTCACTAGGTTTAGTTCACTAGGTTTAAGCAGTAGATTTAGTGTATATAATAAGTATATATATAAGTAGTCTTAATTTTCGCAATTGGCAGGGCAATTTCACTTTTGTTTTGTCTTCTTTCCATAGATTTGATTTGTTTACATCCTGACCACTTTTTCCTCTCACCGCGTGACAATCCCTCGTATAGCGATGGGTGTGGTTGCACTCACTCGTCAGTGGCGTAGATCAGCGGTGGGAGTACACACATCTGGAGCGGGCGTAACCAACACTCCCCCCGGAATACGCGAAGACTCCTCCTAAAGCGTATTCGTCTCAAACGCCTACGTCGAGTACAGCCAAAGACACCGCTGGTCGTTCGTAGATACCCCCCGATGCGGTTTGCACGGTAGCCCACCTTACCTGACCATCTGGAGCCGGACACGTGGCAATCACTCGGCCTTTTGGCCAGCAGTTTCGTGGTAGCTCCGGATCCACAATGATTACCAGATCTCCAACTGTGATCGGCTTCACCGGTGTGAACAACTTAGTCCTACGGGTAATTGTAGGCAGGTAGTCCTGAACCCACTGCTTCCAGAACGCGTCCGCTATCACCTGCGGCTGCTTCCAGCTGTTCCTAAGCAGAATAGGGCTATCGTCCAGAGGAGCCCACGATCTCAGGCCGTTGGTGGATCCCAAGAGAAAGTGATTGGGCGTCAAAACCGGGAAATTGTCACCATCGCTTGGTACGTTGGTCAGAGGACGGGAGTTGACAATATTCTCGATCTCCACCAACGTGTTCTCCAGTACTTCGGGAGTCGGGATTCTGCTCGTTTGCATTCGTCCGAGGTTCTGCTTGACACTCCGAATCAAACGCTCCCATGCTCCACCCATGTGAGGCGTGACGGGAGGGTTGAAAGACCACTCAGTGTGGCTGGAGGTGAACTCCTTCGCTAGCGCATCATGGTCGAGTTTTTCTGTAGCACTCTGTAACTCCTTACTTGCAGATCGGAAATTGGTCCCACGGCCGCTATAGATCGCAGCAGGTATACCCCTTCTAGCCATGATGTTCCGAATGGCCATTACACAGGAATCGGTGGTCAGTGAGTGAGCGATCTGCAGATGGATGACGCGAGTGGTTAAGCAAGTGGCGAGAACCCCCCACCGTTTCTCGGTACGTCTTCCAACCGATACCTTCATCGGACCGAAGTAGTCCACTCCCGTGTGAGTGAAGGGACGAGTGAAGGCGGCCAGGCGAGCTGGAGGAAGGTCAGCCATTGCTGGTGGCTGCGGCTTGGCGCGGAGGATTTTACATTGTTGACAGTCTTTCCGGATCTGATGGTACGCTGCTTTCAGGCGAGGAATACGGTAGCGTTGCAGTATCTCGTTCACCACCGTCTCGTGGTTTTGATGATTGAATCTATCGTGTACTGCAGAGATGATGAGGCGAGTAACAGGATGATCCCGGGGAAGAATCACCGGTTCGGCTGCATCTCGATCGATAAATATATAGGCCTTCGTTCGACCTTTGACACGCAGCACGTCATTTTCATCCAGAAAGGCACACCACTGGTAGAGCAGGCTTGATCTGGGAACCGTTTTTGCTGGATCCTTCAACAGACGGTTCTCCATAAGGATAGATGCCTCTTCTGCGAAAGTGGTAGATTGAGCCTGGCGAAACAGATGATTTTCTGCATCGATAAAGTCCTGTCTTTTCAGCGGTCCCGACACTCGCGGTCGGCCGTAGCAGCAACGTTTCAGGTTATTGATATAACGCAGTACGTAGGCCGTTACGCGTAGCAGGTCGGTCCACTTCGAGAAATCCGGTGGATGAATTGCTGGATCACTAGATTGAGTGTGCAGAAGCAGATGCGGTCGTAAATCCTCCTCGGTAGTTCTTCCAGGAAACGGATTCACAGGCCAATCTTCTTCTTTGAGGAGAAGGAACTCCGGTCCACGGAACCAGCGGCTGTCACTTGACAAGTTGGGGGCTCTTTTCCATTTCGTTCCTTCGTCAGCAACGTTGTGTTTCGTCGGCACCCATCGCCACTCGATGATATCCGTAGTCTCGAGGATTTCGCTGACACGGAACGCCACGAACTGGCTGTACCGCCTGTGATCTGAACGCAGCCAACAGAGTACATCCTTGGAGTCTGTCCAGAACGTTCGCTGGCTGACGTTGATAGAGAGTGATTTCGAAATGGTATCCGCAAAACGCACACCGATGATTGCCGCTTGCAGTTCGGAACGAGGAATCGACAGAAACTTGAGCGGCGCAACTCTTGTTTTGGCACCAACTAGTGTGCAATCGACGGTATCGCCGTTGTCGAATCGTAGGTACACCGTCGCAGCAAACCCGTTCTCGCTTGCATCAACAAATGTATGCATTTGCACTACGGTACTTGATCCACCAGGTGTTTGCACTCGATAGCAGCGTGGTATTTCAACGTTTGCTATCTGCGGAAAGATCGCTAACCATGCCAACCACTTGTCGTACTGCGAATCCTCGATCATCCCAACCAACCGGCGTTCGCCAGATCTCCTGGAGCAACGTCTTCAAGAACATTAACACGTGCGCGATGAGTCCCAATGGATCGAATACCATCATTAGAGTGCGTAGAACTTCCCTTTTGGTTGGCCGACGGTTTCCTGATATGAGCTCCTCATCGTATCGCGCGGAGACCTTGTAGGTGAAGCAGTCCTTTGAGGTATCCCACCACATGCCAAGAACTTTCTCGGTGATGCTTTCTTCGCCGATGTCGAGGTTTTTCTCCTTCGTCGTTTCCTCACTCACCGCCGCAAAGACGCTACGCGAGTTCGATATCCAGTTCCGCTTTCAATGAAAAAACTCATTGGTGTGAATTCAAATTTTGTGATTTATCTATTCTATGCGTGTCTACTGCAAACTCTGATCCTACTCTATCAATTGCTTAAAGTAAAGTCAAGTTGCATCCACTAAGTGAAAAGCTATTAAGAAAAGAGTAATTTGTGTAAAAAATGAGCATGCCAACCCTGCATAAAGCTTATCCTCAAGCCAAGAGTAGCTATCTAGAAAGTTAAATGACACCTATTGAATGTGCTTAAACTTAAAAACTACAGAACTTGACGGGTTATTCCATTTTTCAATTGACGAGCAGGTCTCCTAGATAGGGTTGCCAAAAAAATAATATTTTTCGACGTTAAATTGGTTGTTAAATATTATCAATAACAATACAATATCATCAATATACATAAATTCGTGCTCATATTGAGGAAGACATTGTTCGATGTAGCAAGTGAAAAAATCAATCAACTCTTCCACCCTACTATAAACTATACCAACAAGCAGCACATTGTTATGGCTTATCCTCTCTAGGTAATCTGTTTGCCACGCGGATCCTTGTGAAGCACTGGAGCAGGGTTCTCATTTTTTTCCATTCACTTGGGATGCGAGAAAAAGTTAGCGAAAATAGAGTCGGGGCAAAATGTTCAACTCGAACTGTTTGGCATTGTGCATGCCCAGAGGCGAAAGTAATTTCGCTTCGTTTCATCCCTAACCGCACTGAACGGAGCCAGCGCACTCCTGAGGATTGCAAGGTGGAATAAAAGTAGTGCTTTTCCGAAATCATGAAGATTCCACGGTTACATTCACGCCTCCCCCCCCCCTCCGTTTTCCCCACCTTGTCACGAAGGTAGTCAGCTTTTCTTTTTTGCCTTTGGCTTTTCCGCCGTATACAATAGTCCCGTTCAGCTAATGCCTTTTAAGAAGCTCATTTCCGCTGCCTGTGATCTTAAGCTTCCCCATTCATGTTGTTCATGGTTTGGATATTGTGTTGCGTTGCGGGGTGGATGCACTGCTTGTTATTTTTATTGGCTTTTAATACGTCCCTACTGGGACTTTACGTCGGCTCTCAACTTAGTGTTCTTTGAGCACTTCTACCGTTGATAATTGAGAGCTGTCTAAGCCGGTACCATTCGTGCACTGCCCTGTGCGGCATAACAGTCCCATTAGAGTTTTTGGTAGAAATGAGTTTTATACCCCGGACAGACTATGGCTTATATCATGTAAAATAGGCTGGCTTGTAATGAGCACTCATATATAGGATTTCCAGTGAAAACTAGATGTATGAGTGCTCATTGCAAGCCAGCCTATTTTACATGATATAAGCCATAGTCTGTCCGGGGTATTACGTTGGAATGGATTGTCAAGTACCTTAATTTTACAATGTACACGAAAAGTTTCCTACTTTGTTCAGAAAATGTCGCGAAAAATATCAAAACTATGTTTTCCCATCCATAAGAGCCCAGGAGAAAAAAAATCTTCAGCAACATTTTTCCCCAGCATGCTGTTCTAAACACTCAAAAAATTCCACAATGGGGCAACTATGCTGAAAAGGGCAGGCCAGTTGTGTGACAATAAAAATCATACTTTATGCCCAGGGAGGTCGAGAAATTTTCCAACCTGAAAGATTCCTAGACCGGACTGGAAATCGAACCCAGCCGCCTCTCCAGCATGGTCTTGCTTTATAGCTGCACTCCTTTACCGACTGAGCTAGGGGAGGCCCCCGAGCAAAGTCTGAGATCAAATTGAAATCTAAATTCGATGTTGTGATTTCGCTGATAATGATTACTCAGGTTGTTGTCGTTTTGGTCGTTTTAACGGTTAAAATATCAAAATTGAGAGCAAACATATCTTCCTGTGACATCACATTGAAAACTATCTCTGTTATCAGTGAGAGCAAACTGAAAACCAAATTTGCTATCCATTTTTCCTGTTGATAACAAAACAAGTAGGGGAATTTACGTATTCTCGGCAACCTAAGCAGCGGCCTTCTTTCTATAGCCTTTTTCTCTATGTAACGCACACATATGCAGTATTGGTTTGTTTACAATCTTTTGCTGCCAGCTGCTCTAACAATTTCAGTCAAAAGAATTGCCAAAAACTGTTTTGAAACGCTTTTACAAAGCTCCAATCTTCTCTAGTGAGAGCGAGTATTGTCGGCAACCAGTTTTTCTTCGGCAACCGTTCCATTTGAACTGCATGTAACTCGAAATCAGCTACAATTTGTAGTGCGTGTGTTTCATTTCAAGAAAACCCTGCTAGATTGCTTTTTCTCAGTGGTAAAAATATAGTCAAATTGAAGCTGAAAGCATAAAGAATCGTTTGCATGCATTCAGCGAAGTGTTTTCGTAAGAAAATCCAGTGAAAATAGTGTTTCAATTTGGGTTGCCGAAAATAGTCTGTCATGCCGAAGCCGTCATTTTTCCTATCCAATTTGATGTTATGCTAAGGCAATGAAAACAAACCCGTAACAACACATTTTTAAAGAGCAAATGTACAGCAAAATGAAAACAAAATTTGGTATCAAATTTGTCAATGTGTTAACTGAAATCAAATTATGATTTCAGTTTAATGTTGATATCAAAACTTGATTTCAATTTGCTGTCATTTTGATGTTGGACTTTGCTCGGGCCCGCACTACTTTTATATGTGTGGCGAATTTAGTGATGGCTTTGTTTCCCAAGAATAAGATGATCAAAGGATGATGGTGGGATTTAAGTGCAGTTCGTAGACTGATAAGCTTCCATGAATAAATAGCAGCCGATTTTGAAATTTCGAAATCGATGACGGCAGACACAGGATTCAAAGATCAAAGATCAATCGATTCATTCCTACGTTTTGCTTTTCTGCTACGAAATGAGCAAACCCTAAAAACCCTAAAACCCCCGTCTGTCATAATCTTCAAATTGAAGATACTAACGAATACTCATGGATACACACAAAAATAAAGATCAAATTTTAAGCTTTCAAATGAATGCTGTGCAGCGGTTTGCAGCTTGCTTAGTTATAGCAACAATCAATACGAAACTAACGATTTTAAATTGGCTCACTACTTGACTAGCCTATTGGTCTCAAGCAAACAATTAACGTACCTCATTCTTGTCGAAATTCTAGTACTACACAATGTTTGTTTTGATTCGCTATGAAAGTTTGACAAATAAAATGAGGGGTTAGTGGATTTTCCTATGTTTCGAGGGGTGAATCGATTAGCTTGGAACCGAAGAGAGTACCAGAACTGAGCCAAAAAGTTGAGCACGTTATTTCGGGACCTTCTAGTCTTATACCCTGGACTGACTATGGCTTATATCATGTAATATAGGCTGTCTTGCAATGAGCACTCATACATCTAGTTTTCACTGGAAATCCTTTGTATAAGTGTTCATTGCAAGACAGCCTATATTACGTGAGATAGGCTGTAATGTCAACGGGGTATTATAGCGAATTCGTTTATTATTCAGTTTCAACCTGGATCGGGTATCAAGATTGGGTCTGTTTGTCTTCTGACAAACGTCAGTTTGCTCGTTTGTTTTTAAAACCTAGCTCAGGTTGAGGTTCGCACTGACAAAAAGTTCGGTTCCGCATAATAAACGAATTCGCTATTATACCCTGGACAGACTATGGCTTATATCATGTAATATAGGCTGTCTTGCAATGAGCACTCATACATAGGATTTCCAGTGAAAACTAGATGTATGAGTGCTCATTGCAAGACAGCCTATATTACATGATATAAGCCATAGTCTGTACGGGGTATTAGCAACAATCAATACGAAACTAACGATTTTAAATTGGCTCACCACTTTAGTAGCCTATTGGTCCTAAGCAAACGATTAACGTACCCTATTCTAGTCGAAATTCTAGTACTACGCAATGTTTGTTTTGATTCGCTATGAAAGTTTGACAGATAAAATGAGGGGTTATTGGTTTTTCCTATGTTTCGAGGGGTGAATCGATTAGCTTGGGACCGATGAGAGTACCAGAGCTGTGCCAAAAAGTTGAGCACGTTTCTGCGGGACCTTCTAGTCTTAGAGTTACCTCTATGGTATTAGAGTTACCTCTATGGTTGAACTGCAGCGTTGGAAGAAAACACGCACTCAAACATCCATGCATGTACGAACCACTGAATAAACAAAACACGAAGGGGTGGCATCACTTATCGTCATCATTCAGCTTCGGCAGCTTTCGTTTGCGTTTGCATTCACCGGCGTTTTTGTTTTTTTTTTTTTGTCCTTTCAGACAGGCTTATGGTTATGGTCTTATGACTGGTCCATCTCGTCAATTCACCGGCGTTTGCAAATACCTTTCTACCCTATGGGTAACTCACTCTGCCACCTTGTGACTGTGCTGATTGTGTTTCATGTGTGTTTTTGGGTGTCGGATGGTGTTTCAGGCGAGGTTTCGGGGTGTTTCTGTGTCGAACGAGCTGTCAGAACGTCAAGCGGTACCCATACAATGTTTACTGGTAGCCATGACCTCCACAACGCTGGAAATAACAGATACCCCTGTGATAGTAATTGTTTATTGGCGTTGACGGTGTCTCTGCAGCTCTTTACTCCTATGGTAAAATCCAATAGCAAACGTCAGACTGTGTGTGATGGCGGACTTTGTACTATCCTTTCACTGCACCGGAAAGTCCCATAAGATGCTGGCTGTAGTCGATCACTATAGATCGTTTGAGTCGACCCGAAGACAT